TCTCGCTGTGTCTCTCTCTGTCAAATAAATAAAATCTTAAAAAATAAACACTTATGATTATATTTCTTCACAACCTACACCCTACCCATGATAACCAATGCAACAATTCTGTGAGCATGCTTCTAGACCCTCACCATTTTGTTATTCTTTTTTTTTTTTTAAGATTTTATTTATTTATCTGAGAGAGAGAATGGCAGAGAGAGAGAGCATGAGCGGGGGAGGGTCAGAGGAAGAAGCAGACTGCCCGCTGAGCGGGGAGCCAGATGTGGGACTCCATCCCTGGACTCCAGAATCATGATCTGAGCCGAAGGCAGTTGCTTAACCAACTGAGCCACCCAGGCACCCAAGACCCTCACCATTTTTTATTTGCTCTTTTTACTTAAAAATTCTAGAGATTTTTTCATATCAGTACTTTTCATCTACTTAATTCAGTTTTTTTACATTTATTTTCTCTTTGTAAGTACATTTTTTTTCTTTTCAAATTTTTATTTAAATTCTAGTTAGTTAGTATACAGTGCAATATTGGTTTCAGGAGTAGAATTCAGTGGTTCATCACTCACACACAACACCCAGTGCTCATCATAACAAGTGCTCTCCTTAATACCCATCCCCCATCCCCATCTGGCCCATCCCCCACCCACCTCCATCCATCAACCCTCAGTTTTGTTCTGGTGATTAAGAGTCTCTTATGTTTTGTTTCCCTCTCTTTTTCCCCCCTCCCATATGTTCATCTGTTTGTTTCTTAAATTCCACATATGAGTGAAATCATATGGTATTTGTCTTTCTCCATCTGATTTATTTTGCTTAGCATAATACACTCTAGCTCCATCCACGTCACTGCAACTTAATTCATTTTAATACTGCATAATTTATCATAATTTCATGTACCATAATTTATTTAACTTTTTCCAAAATAGTGGAAATTTACATTGTTTCTAATTATTCAAAATAACAATATTGCAAAGAACATCATATATGTATGAGCATCTTTCCACACATGTTTGTTTCTGAGGAATAGATCCCTAGAAGTAGAATTGCAGAACAAAGGGTATAAGCATTTTCAAGTTTGATTAATATTGCCAAACTGATTCCAAAAAGGCTGTACCAATTTACATTTTCTTTATTTAAGAAATAAAAAGTTGTCTTTCTCTTAGCCCCATGCCTTAAGATAGTTGACAAATTTCAGTAGTAAAAAATAAATGTGAAGTTGATCTGAAACTCACTGTCCATATTACTAACAATAACTCTGAAAAGGCTCCAGTGTAAAGATGGTGCACCTGACTAAAATGAAAAAAACTGTATGACATTTCCTAAATACTTAACATCCCATTTTACAACAGAAGCCTAGATAGAAGAAAACAGCTCACAACAGAAAGCAAGGTAAAACCCTTCTGTTTCCATTGCCTCTTGGTCATAAGTTCAAAAGACTTTTCACTGAGTAAGCTTCCTAGATTTGTGAGTCCCTCTGATTCAAAACAGCGGACAGAATGGAATTTAGGTCTTCTAGGACCACTTTTAGAATCCTAGCTATTCCCATAGTCCATATAGCATGGGAAAACCATGGCCTTCTATAATCTTAGCAAAAGTTTCTGAGTTTCCAGAATGATGGGATATCATCCACATGACCTAGCCTGTCATGAGAACTTTATGTTCTGTATAGTGGCTTTCTGATGGTGACGAGAATAACATGTTCTTAATTTGCTATTCTTTTGAAAAGTAAGCAGTTATAATAACTTCTTTGTGTTTTGTTCTAATTTGTCTAAGAAATTCCCCTGAAACACCTTCACTGAGAAGAGAACCACACACACAACCACTATTATTGTTTGGACAAAATGTAACCTTGGGACATTTCCTTTAAGGCATTCCAGTATGCAGTGATAGTTAACATTTAACTAATATTGCCCTATTCACGTTTACAGGTAAAACTTCTTGATGCAGGGCTTGATCTCACAACCCTGAGATCATGACCTAAGCCGAAATCAAGAGTTGGACACAACCAACTGAGCCACCCAGGCGCCCCCTCCTTTTTTCTTCTAATGTAGAAAATGTAGAAAATTGTAGAAAAAATCGATTTTCTCATGTAAATACATTCTCACATTCACAGAATAAAATGTACTTTGTTCAGATATGTATATGTATTTTTTCTTTCTTTTTGCATTTTTTTAAATTTTATTTTATTATGTTATGTTAATCACCATACATTACATCATTAGTTTTTGATGTAGTGTTCCATGATTCATTGTTTGCGTATAACATCCAGTGTTCCATTCAGTACGTGCCCTCTTTAATACCCATCACCAGGCTAACCCATCCCCCCACCCCCCTCCCCTCTAGAATCCTCAGTTTGTTTCTCAGAGTCCATAGTCTTTCATGGTTCATCTCCCCCTCCGATTTCCCCCCCTTCATTTTTCCCTTCCATTTTTTTTTTTTTAAACATGTAATGTATTTTTGTTTCAGAGGTACAGGTCTGTATTCATCAGTCTTACACAATTCACAGTGCTCACCATAGCACATACCCTCCCCAATGTCTATCACCCAGCATTTTTAAATACATTAGTACATTTGTTAATACTTTTATTACAGTTTTAATATCTCTATTAATAAATGAAATTGCTTTAGAGTTTTTGTGGTCTGTACAGTTTTAGTATCAGAATTACGGCAACTTCCTCTGGTAAATTAGAAGATCTAGTTGTAATTCCACTAATGGTTATCTTTAAACTTTAAATATACTTAAATCATCAGCCTCAGAAGCAAAAAATGCTATTTATTGACTCCACTCTGAAAAATGAACAAATTAGCCCTCACCCTAACTCTCATGACTCTCTTTCATTATAGTTAGTTTTGTCAGAGTATTATCATTTTCACATTATGTAAATTTTTTATTAAGAATTATAACCATCACATTAAACTGTATAATCACACCTAAGTGGATTAATGTTCATTGATAGT